AGTCCACCTGGAATTTAGGCCCTGTGATATGTGCATGTGTGATCCTACAGTTTCTTTGAAGCTTTGTATTAAATGTGAGGCTTTCCCTGTCTGTAATATGGACACAGGTTTCAGCGGGAGCCCTTTCAGAACCTAGTCTGCCTGATTTAAAACAGAGTCACAGTCCTCCATGTGCTGACAAAAAAGCAAGCAAGGAGCATTCAGAGAACAGACATTTATTTCATGTTAAAAAGGCAGAACATGTACAAAGAGATAGTATAAAATGACCCCAGGATAGAGCTGCGAATGAGCAGTAACTCTTATACTGAAAGCCTGTCAGAAGCTGCTCAGGCTTGATGCAGAGCTTGAAGCTGACAGTATGCATTTAGCCTGAACCTGCTGCCTTGTGACAGTTTATCAGGTAGACCTGAGGGCACTGATACCTCGAAGAGGGTTGCATGATGCTGGGTGCAATGCATGCTGGGAAAAAGAGCAACATTCATATGGCTGGGGATCTCTGATGTCTCTCTTTGGGTTAGTTGATTCAAAATGAATCCCAAAAGAACAGATGTGGTTAATACTAATAAACATTAATGGCATTCAGGTCATCACTTAAGGTGCCAGTGGCCCTTCAGTTGGGGGCCCTCTCACTCCCTCCAGCTGGAGAGCAGGGAAAAAGCTCAGAAAAGGCAGAAAAAAAGGGGCCTGGAATCCATTATCGATCCACTGTGACCCACTCAGTGCAGAAAGGAAGCGCGGGGCTGCTGACACTCTGATACTCTTCTAGGAGGCGCTGTCCACTGATGAGCGCCTAAGCACACATATCATCTTCCTCCTCTTCTGGGAATGACGGCTCAGTATGTGTCTTCAGCAGCTTTCCTCCTGACAGAGTGACACAGGATAGGGTCTCAGAGAAGAACTCGCCCTCCCCTCGTGATTTCAGTCAGACAGGCAGCCATGCCAGCACTGCTGTGTGCACTCTTGCTCTCTTCTCTGATTGGGGGTGTCCCCAGGGATAGGTGGCACTGGTCTACAGGTTGGCCGTGGTGTATCCTAACTCTCACTGCCCTCTCTGCCTGTTCTTCCTCAGGTTGTGATTTCTAAATTACTATGCCATCTGCTTGGTATTATGTCTGCTCCAAGACCAAAGGTGAGACTCTGCATCACTGCTGCCCTTGAGTTTTGTGTGAAAACAACTGAATGTGTTTCTGAGCTTAGTCTGAGGAACACAGGTGTGTGGACAGCTGATGCAGCAGAATGACTCCTGAAACCACAACGTAATACGGAGAAACAGCACCGCCATAATGTGGTCCTGCCAGCCACTGGCCATGGACCATGTGACCCGCTCATGAGCGGACAGTACAGTACAATTAAAGGCTCGGTCACTGCTTTAGCTGGGATACCATCATGATAACAGTAGCTGGTTGTAATGGGGGGTCTATGGGGCAGTATCAGCTGCTGGGGTGCTGTGAAGACCCTACCTGCGGGAGCATGAAGCTGGTGCTGATAGGGTGTATCTTTGCACCTGGTCAGGGCCCCCACATGCTCCTCGGGACATGCACCTAACCCCACCTGTGCAAGTGGATGTTGTTTGGCTCCTCCTGGCTCCTGGCACAATCGGCCTAAGTGGGTGAAAGGGCATGTGGGGCAGGCCAAACACAGAGAAACACAATCAGTTGGCCAACCAGCTATTCAACCTGCTGGCTCTGCAGTCAGCAGCCAGCACAATGCTAAAGATGTTAGTGAAGAAACCTGAGGATGTAAAAACACCACAGAGTTTGCTGATCATACAGGTACTGTGCTTACTTAGGCAAAAGAAAATGTTTAAGACTGTTTTCCTGGGTGACGAGTGCATATCTTCCTAGGAAAAAAAACACAACTTACTACTAGAACATATGCAAATAAAAACAGGAATTTCTTCTCTTGTCCAAAAGGTTACCCATATCTAGTTGGGTGGCTAGATCTATTCCTAGCCCTTTGTTACACCATGTAGACTGTGATCTACATTTCGCAAATGACGTGGGTACTGTAAGCCTCCTACCTTTGCTTGATTTAAGCACGGCCTTTGACACAATCACACACCCTTTTCTGATTCAGAAACTAAACCTAGGTATTTGTGAGGCAGTGCTTGGTTTATTTCATATCTCACAGACAGAAAACATCTTATTACCCTATCTGGTTATAAATCATACTTAGCAGGTATCAAGGATGGCATCCACCAGGGCTCTCTTATAGGGTTGCTGCTCTTTATCACTCATCCCGTAGGCCTGATCATTGGTCGCTTCAACCTAAATTTTCACCTCAATGCTGATGACATCCAGATCTACTTCAGTATCAGCTTCACAAACAACCTGCCACTAGCAGATGTCAAATCATGCATTTCTGAAATAAAATTATGGATGAGCCTCAATTTTCTCAAACTTAACAGTGATAAGATGGAGATAATTGTCATTCGGTCAAACTCTGTTGTGTTGCAAAACAAATTGGTCAACATATATAGGATACAGTATTTAATGCTTGTTCTGTATAATGTATTAAAGTGGAGATTCCTGCCTGGTACACTCCACTTAAGCTCCTCCCTTGCGGTGTAATTTATTGGTGTCCATGGTAGAAGGGCCAGTAATACACAGGTTCAGAAAGCCAGCTGAGTGAGCTTGATGAAGGAGAGCACAATTTTACATATAAATATCTGACCAACTAAAATTGGTCATATTGTCAACTGTCCACACACTGTCCATTTTAAAAATTACCATTTGCAACTGCTAGGAAGCCAATGGAAGCCTGAGCCAAGTAGCCAGTAAACCATGTTTCGAATAGAGGTGCAATCGGATCGGCATCACCACCAGTCCTTACCTATTAGACGGATCAGGTATTGGCCATATATGACCGATCCAAGTCCGATACTTACTTATTTAGTTTTCAGCAGTTTCGTAAAAGATAGCTCCTATTTCTTGTTAAATCGATTTGTACAACCAATTGCACAACAGCTCTTTCCCATTTTAGATGTGTTTTTTTCGTAACATTCAATACATTCAAACACTGCCACTCAGTTTTTGCCATTCAGTGGGTGTGAGCGTGGTGACTGCTACCTGCTGAGACGTCATGTGCATAACCTTTGCAGTAGAATGTGAGCATAAGAACATCAGATACAAGGGTGACAATTTGGAAGTACTGCATTTTATGCTTTTAACAACGGTGATTTTCAATCTTTGTAAAAAAAAAAAAAAAGTTTTTAGAGGTGGAAGTAGTGTTTAGTGGAAAATCCACTAATGAAATACCAACAAAACTAGTGAAACATACGTATAAATAAATATAGTTTTATATTTCTAAACATTCATGTACAGGAAAAAGAACACTCACATATTCATTTGTTGAGATTAATATACACTATATGGACAAAAGTATTGGGATACCCCTGTTAATTAGAGGAATTGTTTAGTTTTTAATGTTTTGGTTGACTTAAACAAATTTACCTGTCAAGATAATAAAGGTACAAGAGTTTAGTTCTGCTCCTTTGGTCACATCGTCCAATTTCTCTGATCCTACGTATCTCAGACCAGTTATCTCAAAATTAGTGTTGGTTTGTGTCGCCCTTGTGCTTCACTTTTTTCAACTCAAATTTCTTCACAGGAATAGTTGCACAAAATGAAACATCCACTCTTTTCTGGCAAAACACAGAGCTTCTCCCCGATATCGATCTCTGCTACGCTCCAATTTGTAAAATACATACATTTCACAACTAGTTTCAGTGGCTAACGTATTTGGTACAGTAAATTGTACCGCTGAAAAATTTCCATCTTAGCATTCAACATTTTTAGGTAAAGTTAGTTTACTGATTTGTGATTAGTATCTTGAAATGTTATTTTGACATACAAAGTCATTGTGACGTCCAGTTGCACGAGCAGGGAGTGGGGAATCAGGTACAGGAAATGGGAGTCCAAAAATGGGGTTTTATTGTGGAAATGCGGAACAACACGGGACACACTTCAATGACAGACTTAGGGTTACAGACACTGACGTGGACTTAAATACACCAGATGAATCAAACTGAGAGAGAATAGCTGGTCAAAATCGGGGTTGCACATGTGGTTAATAAGGGGGCGTGGCACACAAGAGGTTCGTACATGCAGGTCATGACAGAACCCCCCCCCCCCCAAAAGCGTGCACTCTAGGCGTGCCTCAGGGGAGGCAACGGATCAGACAGGACCGGGGATGCGGGACCTGAAAAACAAAAGCAAAAAACATCAACAGGAGACCAGAAACAGGACGTACACACAGAACAGGCACAGGGACAAGAAGTAGGACAAAACCTGACACAAAACAGTAAACACAGACAGGCAAACCAGAAAGGGAGACAGGGGGAATACCAACCGGAGGGACAAAGGGGCTGGGAGTGAACAGAGGAGACAACGAGGGATGAGGAGCAGATACAGGAGGGATGAAGGAAAAAGGTAGAAAGACAGAGGACAGCGGACAATGAGGACCCCGAGGGAACCCCAGTGGGTGGAAGGCGGCAGCTGCAGGGGCAGCAGTCGACCACAAGGCCGGAGCAGGAGGGGACCTCGGAGGGAGCAAGGAGGAAGCCAGAGGGATAGACAGAGGAGGCGAGGAGGAAATCGGAGGGGGCACCAGGGGAGGCGAGGAGGAAGTCTGAGGGGACCCCGGCGAAGGCAAGGAGGGAGGGGAAGCCGCAGCTGACGATGGCACAGCCACAGCAGGTGAAGGCGCCGTCCACCAATGAGCCTTAGTGGGGAGACCTGCCGGCGACCGACGAGTCGAAATGGGGGAACCCACAGGTGACCGTCGAGGCGCTGGAGGCGGAGCCGAAGCCAGGGGGGGCAGGGCGGGTGGGACCCGACCCCTGCAAATATGTTCTCTCCCCTTCCAGGACATGGACAGGTGGGGACCTGGCCGGGATCGACCACGCTGGGGTGATGGTCGGTGCAACCCCTCAGTGGGGGTCGGGCCGTCATGGACCTCCTCGGGGCCAGGGACTGGTGGTGTTGGACCTGGGTCAGTGGTAAACAGGGAAATCCCCGAGGGGTCCCATTCGAGCTCCTCCTCTCCTTCCACCAAGGGAGGAGGAGTGACAGTCAGGCAGTCTGGAACCTCGGGTGGAGCAGGAGGTGCGGGCAGAGCCGGGATCTCAGGTAAGGCAGGAGCCGGAATATCAGGTAGAGCAGCGTGCGGGAACCGAGGGGGGCGCTGTGTCAACTGCTGGGTCTTTAGCTGCAGGTATGGGTACCTTGGGGCCAGGAACCTCAGACACAAGCTGGTCAGACACATCAGGTACAGGCTGGTCGAGGACATCAGATGCTAGAAGAGCATCGACCTCTGGTGTAGGAATCTTAGGAGGCACCTCTGCAACAGGCGTGGGCCCTTTAAATGTCTGTGGGACCCGTGGGATAGCATCCAAAACTGACCTGCCCCCTTTAAGAACCAGGCGGATTCCCCGGGAAGAGGTGAGCTGCCAACGGGGACAGCTTCGCGGCGGCGATGTGGGCTTTGGGCACCGGTACTCACAAGGCTGCTGTGGCAGCATCTGTGGTGAACCCAGGTTAGAAGCGGCGATGGAGATGGCCCCCAGGAAGATCGTCGGCTCTGCCTCTGATCTCCTCTCTTTCCACTTCTTTTTTCTCCGGTTTGTTTGGGGCAGTGAAGCTGGAAGCACCTCAGAGACAATGGGTATCCACTCTCTGGTAGGCTGCATAACCAGCCGGAGCTGCCTCTCTGTAATTCTGTCCGTGAGTTGCTGGACATTCTCACGGACTGCACGAATTGTGTCCGTGCTCCTGGGTGGGGACATATCACTGAGAAGGGTCCCACTCCGGCTGGCTTAGTCCAACGCTGTGGGGTCCTCCCGGAACTAAGGCTGGTTGAGCCAGTAGACCACCTCTTTCAGTAAACAGAGGCGTTGATCCTCAGTCCACCGCAGTGCATCTTCGCTGAAGTCATTCTGTGACGTCCAGTTGCATGAGCAGGGAGCGGAGAATCAGGTACGGGAAACAGGAATCCAAAAACGGGATTTTATTGTGGAAACGTGAAACAGCACGGGACACACCTCAATGACAGACTCTGACGTGGACTTAAATACACCAGACAAATCAAACTGACATAGAACAGCTGGTCACAATCAGTGTTGCACACATGGTTAATAAGGCGGCGTGGCACACAAGGGGATTGTACAGGCAGGTCATGACAGTCATTGAGAAACTCTTGAAATAATGACTTATTGGCCTGAATAAAAAAATACTTTATTCATTAACTCTATGGAGGGCACCAGGGGCCCCTTGCATGGGGGGGCATTTCTAATTACCTTATAACTTCAGATATAAAAGTCACAGACACATGCCTGATACCTAAAATCAGAGTTGACCCCTTTACAATTGATTGTAGGAAGTTCAATAACGAA